GCATTCCACACCCAGCTGCAGATTGGCCTCTGGGCCACAGGGAGCCTCTGGGAAGCAGGCATGGAGTGGCCAGGCCCACAGAGAACTACTGGTGCACAGATTTATACACAGGGCAAGTAGTCTTCATATAAGTTGTGAGACAACATTTCCCAGCACTTTGGAGATATTTGGTAGAATATTTAAGGAAAGAATGAATGGATTCATCAATGAAAAGTCCAGAGACATCTACCACACCATATTCTCTTGTAAGTCAGGTTGACACTCAGAAAAAGCAGCTTGATCTAATAGGAGAAGCATGGGCTTTGTGTTTGACAGAGGGCCTTGGTTTAAATCACTGATCTGCTACTTAAAATTGGTACACCTTGGACAAATAGTTTAGCTTTTATTTGTAAATGTTTCATTTGTCAAAAGGAATTGACGATAGTGACATATAGTAAGTTGAATATATTAAACAAGATATTATTAATTGATTAAATAAGTGACATGATATAGAGTTGGTAGTTAGGAAAAAATAGCTTTCATCTTCTTTAGTTGAGTCACAATTTGATTAAATTTGCAGGATCATAAAGTGAGGCTAGAAAGAGTCTTAATATTACTTATGACCAGCCACTTTTCTTACCCTGCCTTCTTAAATATTATAAAAATTAAACAAGCATAAAACAGGAATTTAGTTCTGATTTGACCATTATTACTTATGGCATATATGTATATGAGGATTATATAATATATGCATTTCAGTATGTTCCTTTGACTAGAGCAGTGGTCAGCAAACTCATTAGTCAGCAGAGTGACAAACAGCAGCTCGCAAGCCAGTTTGCCAACTGCTGGACTAGAGAAACTAAGTAGCCTGTTACATCTATCCAATGTTAATAATCTATGTTGACCTTGCAAAATTGGCTAACTCGTTTCTCTCCGACCGCATTCTTCCCCAGCCATACACATACAACTATGCCCACCCAGCCATATATTCATGCAATTATAAGCATATCCAAAATGATCTAGAGTGAGAAAAAATTTAAATTAAAAACAAAAAAAATTAAAAAGAAAATAAATTTATGAGAATATGACATGTTGAAGAAGTAATGTAAAATACAAGACCACAGTGTGGATTTAAATGAGACTGGATTTTGTATTACAAGTATAGAATCCCAATCATGATGACAGAATAAAGCTCTGATGTGTCAGGTCTTATTACATTGGAGACGTAACTTAACATTCCCTGTTCAAGCATTTCCTTCTATGACCGTTTAAAAAGTCCCTGCATAGGTGCAGAAAAAATCCAGGTTCAAAAACAGTCTGCCATCCATTTCACGGTGGTTCCACCCACTCACTCAGGCACAGCTGCAAGTTTAAGTAAGCAGGCAAACTATAATCAGCCACTTAGATTAGCTACTCAATCACAGTTGTGCCCAATTTGCCTGTTTAACTTTTTTCGTGCTTGATTGACCTTGGATCTCTCCTTCCCCACATGTGTATGATGACAACAAGCCATGCCATATCTTTTCTATGTTGTGAGTGAAACAGAAATAACCCAAATACTTAAGAGCAAAGTCAAATGGCCAAAGTACTACAATCTTAATTTTGTCCTTTTTCTGTATTAAAATTAATTACATCTCACAGTGCTTCAGTTTAGATGCAAGTTTCAATTTCAAATATGTTGGTTTATTGACAATTTTCTTGAACACACACACACACACACACACACACACACATTAGTAAATATATACACACACATATCCGGATTTATAATATGTATATGTAGATACATTCAAAGTGATATTTATGTTATCCTTATATATAAAAACCCAGGGCCCATAACATCCAAATGACTGAAGGCTTGACCAAACACTAGGCTGCATGCACAGCAGGCTCTGGTGGGAGGGAACTGGCAAGTGGGATAAACTGCTGACCTCTCAGGGAGAGAGAGAGGCTGGGCTGATCATCCTTTACTGTGGCTGCTGGTGAAGTCTGGAGAGAGAGAGACACTGCAGATCAGACCCTCAGGGTTGTAGATTAGACCATGCTTCTCTCTCTCTCCAGCCTTGCCAGAAGCCACGCCTCTCTCTCTATAAGAGATCAGCAGTGCAGCCCTCTTGCCAGCAGCCTGGGGTGGCTGTTGATCAGCCTGCCTCACTGAGCAGGCCCAGAGACAGACTTGGAGATGCTGGCTGGCATAGAAACCAAACAATCAGAATGGAATCTGGGTGAAGTAACAGGAACCAATGGCTGCCAGGAGGCGGAGCTTCTGACGCTGACTGGCATAGAAACTGACCAATCAGAACCTAATCTGGGTAAACTGCGAAAGCAGAACCTAAGGTGGGGACTGAGGAGAGGTTTTAAGGGCAACAGCTGTTTTGTGTAAGGTGTAAGATAGCAGTTCAATTTTTAATGACAATATAGTGCATATGGTGGCTATCAGTTCAGATATAGAGATTATATATTTTTGTCTGCCAAGAGCATCTCCTCCCGCTGAAAAAGGCTTTTCTCCCCTATTTAAGCAATCCTATCCTATATAATCTTCCCATACTAATAAAGGATAATATGCTACTTAGATTGGGTTGACTGGCCATCTTCTGGGCATCTGACTTCGTTCTGGACAAAGCCATGGTAGTAAAAGCTGAGGCAGAAGCAGTTAGGGCCAATCAGGCCACCAGGGGAGGGCAGTTGGGGGTGACCATACTGGCAGGGGAGGGAAGTTTGGGGCAAGATCAGGCTGGCAGGGGAGAGCATTTGGGGGCAAGATCAGGCTGGAAGTGGAGGGCAGTTGGGGTTGAGATCAGGCTGGCATGGGAGGGCAGTTAGGGGTGATTAGGCAGGCAGGCAGAGACAGTTAGAGACAATCAAGCAGGACGACAAGTTGTTAGGAGCCAGTGGTCCCAGATTGTGATGATGTCTAACTCCCGAACATCACCCAAGGGTTCCCTGATTGGAGAGGATTAGGGCTGGGCTGAGACAACCCCCAACCCTGTGCATGAATTTCATGGGCCACTAATCTATAATAATTAAGTGATAATATGCTAATTAGACTGGATGTCATTCAGTACAAAGCTGGGCCAGAAGGACACCTGGGCTTGCGGGTTGCCGGAGGGAAATCAGCCCAAGATCCAGGTGCCAGAGGAATGCCGGTGCTAGCAGCTGGAGAAAGGAAAGCCTACTCTTGCACAAATATCATGCATCGGGCATCTAGTATATTATATATTTAGTTTGTGTATATATATATATATATATATATATATATATATATATATATATATAATATCAGAGAGAGAGAGAGAGAGAGAGAGAGAGTTTATAAGACTGAAGAATTCTGATATATATATATATATATTTTTAATTATAAAAAGAGAAAAAAACACAACAAAGCAAAAGGCAACCATTTTTATGACTAGGCATTTAACTTTCCAGGAATATGGAAGGTAAAGAATGTTCATGCTTAGTATAAATAGTAACTCTAACCCATTTTTTACTTCCATTCTTATACTTTCAATTCTGAAAAATGTGCAGCATATTAACTTGTAGCAGTTCTGAAAGGGGGAAAAATACTATGATAAATATAGCTACCAAGGCAATATAACATTTTAAAATGTGTAACATTTTTAAAGCAATCAAGCTTTAATGTCATATAGGGATAGATGTTAAATGGTCTAAGAACTGTTGCAGGAAGATTACTGCAAAAATAGGGCTTCCTCGAACCTAATTCTGCAAGAATAAAGTTCCTGGGGCTCTCTCCACAGCCCTGCCTGCCTCCCTCCCTTCTCTGTTGCCCCGCTTTGCTTCCTTCTGCAGTGGTTGGTTTCCTTCTATGCTGTCTTTCCTCTTGCTCTGTGCCTGGATATGCAAATGAAATGCCATCTTGGTTGGGTTAATTTGCATAATTTCGCCTGATTGGCTGGCGGACATGCCTTATGGGCATAGGTATGGTAAATTTGCATGTTTCTCTTTTATTAAATAGGATAACATAGATTTACTACAAATATTAGAGATTTTGTTTTGTGTATGTATGTGAGAGAGCAAGAGGAGAGAATATACAAGCCAGAAGAGAGACAGAATTTTGGCTTTCTTTCATTTTACTGAAGAAGAAACTATATTTTGTGTCTTTAATAATAGTATGCAGTACTATACATTTAAACGAGAGGCCCATGCACAAAATTTGTGCATCAGGGTATGTGTCCCTCAGCCCAGCCTGCACCTTCTCCAATCTGAGATCTCTCGAGGGATTTTTGACTGCCCTTTTACAGGAATCAGGCCATAAGGGTGTGCCATCCTAGTGAGGGGCTGATGGCTATTTCCAGTCTGGTCACACCCCCAGGGACCCAAGCTCCAAGCCCCTCCTTTAGTTCTTTTTTTTTTTTTCCAGTGCTTCCTTGAGTGGAGGAGTCCAGAGCCGGCTGAACGCGGGTATCTGGGATTTATTTATGTTCTATAATTGAAACTTTATAGCTCTGAGTGGAGGCCAGAGCTGGCCAGGGTGGGTGGGAAGCTTGACTTCCTCCATCACAAGGGCAACCCAATCCTCCTGCTCACTCCAACTCTATGGCTGCCATCATCTTTGTTGGGTTAATTGGCATACTTGCTCCTGATTGGCTGGTGGGTAAAGCAGAGTGATGTCTAATTTGCATGATTCTCTTTTATTAGTGTACATTAGATTACAACACTCTTTTTAGTATTCGATGTTTGCAATAAATAGTTCAATGGACATTAGTCTTTTTGTTTGTTTGTTTTAGCATTAATTTTTAAATTATTTTTCCTTAAAAATGTTCCTATCATTCTATATTTAAAAGTTAAGATGTCTATAACCAAAATTTTAGGACTATTTACTAAATATCAAAATAAATAATTTTGTTGACTGCTTCTCAGACATGAAGGTGAAGATTATGTACTTGGAAACCTTATTAAAAATGAAGAAATTCTCATACAGATCATCTGAGATGGTACCTAAGATTTTGCATTTCTAACTGACTGTCAGATGATGTTGATGCTATGATCCAACTATGGTTACAGTACTTGCTTTGTCAGCACATAGACTAAAATTGGGATGATACTGAGAATATTAGCATGGCCTTTGTGCAAGGATGACATGCACATTTGTGAAGCGTTCCATATTTGAAAAGAAAACAAAAAAGAATATTGATTAGAAAGACTTTATTTCAAGTAAAATAATGCATTTGTAATTATAATAACAAACATAATAATTTTATATAAATCTTATATCTAAGGAAAATAATAGTTAACATGAAAATTAATGACCAGGTACATAAAAAGATATTGAATCTTTTCTATGTAAGATATTTGGTTCTAAATGCCACATTAATACTGAATTTCTTCAACTGTTCTAGGGATCATTTGTTCAACATTGATTTGTTGATTGGTCCTAAATCTGTTGATTTATGTCAAATTGTTAGGCTTTGTAAATAATTGTAAAGTCAAATATTTCTAAAAACTTTTAAGAAAACGTCTATTAAGAAATAGCTGAAGTGTTTTTAAACTGTTATAAAGTCTTATGGACTGCCAATGAATTGAACTAAAAATAAGAAGCTTATTAGCATCTTAAAAGTGCAACTCATAACACCAACCAGGAAGGAAAATGATGGATAAATTCCATTGTAAATTAGTATAAAAATTTGGATTTTGTCTTGTAATAAACAACACTTTCTACTACAGATATTATGGGCTAGACCAGATCTGTTCTGAAAGCAAAGTAGATGTACTCCAATGAGGGATTCTAGGAAGATGATTAGCTGTAAGGACATGCACGCATAATCACTCTCATAAACTCTATGTAGAAAATAAAATGAAAAGAGAATTGATGTAGCATTGGAAAATATCTGACAATAAATCCTAAAATATAGGAGGTAATGGGTGTCAGACACAGTATGTTGAATATTCTGTGTCTTAATCTTTAAAAAAGTTTTCAATAAATGATCTGGAATATATATTTTTTCTCTAATTTTTACTCTCTGCTTTAGGCATTTTAAATAACAAACTTAAAATCTTTCTTATATATCTTTGTAGTTATTTGTCTATTCTTAGGCTACATTTGTCATGAAAAATGAGAACATATCTGTGGTTAAATTAATCCTGTGATGCATAAGGTAATTTGTTTTAAGGAACTTATTTCACAGATAAGAAAAAAATAGTGGTAGATAGGATAAAATTCACAAATTAAAAAAGAAAAAACACAAATATTGAAGACTGTATAAGATACTGTAATAGTCATTGGGGTGAATTAAAGAGAATAATAGTATGAAATAAGAAGCAAAACAATACTATTTCGAAGCAGTATATGTAGTGCTGAAAGAATTTTTTATCTAATGAGTACTTTTAAGCAGAGTGGTTATGAGGTTATTTTTTATTAGGATAGCTTTGTAAACACTGTTCTATGATTCTACTCTGTACCAGTTTGCTAAAACTGCTCAACAAAATACCTTAGACTGGGTGGCTTAAATTACAGAAATATGTTCTTACAGTTCTGTGACTAAAAGTCCAGAAGTCCAAAATCTAGAAGTCTTGTTGGCAGGTTGATTTCTTCTGAGAACTCCTCTCCTTGGTTCAAAGATCTGCCTTCTTACTGTCCTTACATGTGCATGATTGGGTGTCCCTTGTATATTCAAATTTCCTCTTCTTACAAGGACTTAAGATTGAGTTAAGACTCATTCTAACAATTTATTTTAATTTAGTCTCCTTTTTAAATGTCCTATCTCCAAAGTCACATTTGGAGGAACTGGGAATTATAGACTGGAGTTATAGACTCAAGGTATGAATTTGGGGAGATATAAATTAGTCCATAATTCATTCAGAATCCTATATGTATAAGAAACTTGGTTCAGCCAAAACCGGTTTGGCTCAATGGATAGAGCATCCGCTTGGGGACTGAAGGGTCTCGGGTTTGATTCTGGTCAAGGGCATACACCTTGGTTTCGGGTATATCCCCAGTAGCGGGTGTGCAAGAGGTAGCTGATCGATGACTCTCATTGATGTTCCTAACTCTCTCTCTCCCTTCCTCTCTGTAAAAAATCAATAAAATATATTAAAAAAAAAAAAAAAGAAACTTGGTTCAACACTCTTATTTTACAGTTGAGAAATTAGGGGCCTTCCCCAAAGAACTGAAATTTCTTATGCAAAGTCACCAAATTAGTTAGTTGTATAGTCTAGAATAAGTCATAAAATCTTGAACTCCTGATCTTTTATTTAAAAGTTTCGCTTTACCATATGACTAATGGAAGCCTGATATTCTTCCTACAAATATGGAGTGTATATCTTTACTTGATGAATCGGTACGGACAATAATTGGGAAGGCAGAATTAATGGGTAATATCACTCTTTCTAATCTAATTTGTCTAGTTGGGTAAGCTTTTTCAGAACCAGAACACTAGAATGGATTAGTACAAGCAATATCTGAACCTAGATTGGGTATAATGCCATTAATTCTAACTTGCTGGTCTAAGATTAAGTCCACATTTCTATGATTACATAACTCTTGCCATGTTGAATGAATTATTCTTAAAAGAGCTAACTGTCACGAAGATTTTAAACTAAACATATACTTGTGAAAATTTTTTGTTGTTATTTTGGGCAGCAATGTGTGGTAGATGATATCACATATAAAGTATTTGGGAAAAATCTATTTAAAAAGCTAACACTTAACCAACTTAAAAAATAAAATAGTATATTAACTATTTTTAAACAGAGAAAAAGATGGAAATTTTAAAAATGTATAAACAATTTAATTTTTTATCAATAGCAAATACTTCCTTTCCCCAATAACTTAATATATTAAATTTTTGAATTAGTACTATTTGATTAAATATTTTTAAATTTTAGTTCAATTGTACAAACACAGAGATCAATGGAACTTTATAAAAATTTAAAAAGCTAGTAAGCGAGTAAATTAACTCAAATGCTATCAAATGAACCAAGAACAAACATATTTAAACTAATTATGCCAAAAGGAGTCTCAGTTGTAAAAATCATTCATACAAAACTAAATAAGTAAATAAATAAATTGCATTTATTTTTGGTACTACTCTTTAAATTATGACAAAGTTATGTCACTAACTCCCTGATACATTTTCTGAATCTGAGTTAGCAAACTTACATTAAAAAAAAAAATGCTTTCAAGTATGGAGAAAATTTTAAAATGGCAATCTTTTCTTTTCAGACTCATGAACTCTGAGATATATATTTATCCTATATAGAGGCCTGGTGCATGAAATTTGTGCATGGGTAGGGTCCCTAGGCCTGGCAAACTCCCAAGGGGACAATTTGCATATCAGCCTTTTATTATATACTAGAGGCCCGGTGCACAAATGTGTGCATGGCGGGGGGGTGGGGGGGCATCCCTCAGCCTAACCTGCACCCTCTCCAATCGGGGAGCCCTTGGGGGATGTCCAACTGCCAGAGAAGGATCGAGTTTAAAGTGGCAAGTGGCAGGTTGATATCCCTCTGGAAATCTGGGTCTTCTGGCTCCTAACTGTTCACCTGGCTGCCTGCCCTAACCACTCTACATGCCTGCCTGATCCCCTTACTGCCCTCCCCTGCCATCATTTATAAACTTTTATTTCTTCCTTATTTCCTACTTCTGTCCCATCTTTCTCCTACCCTTCCTCCCTCCCCATGTTCCTGTTCCTTTTCTTTATCTTTATCCCTCCCTCCCCTTTTCCTTCCTTCCCACCTTCATTTTTTTTCTTCACTTTCTCTCTCAGACCTGCTTTGCTCCTTCCCCCATTTCTTCCTTCTTACCAGTCTCCTTTTAAGCTCTTAAAACTTTCCTTCCCTCCCTATTTCTCGTTCATTCTATCTTTCCCATACATTCTTCTCTACTTACTTTCACTATTTTAATATCTATCTACCTGGCTAATTATTCACTATCATTTATCTTTTTTCTTTTCTGACTCCTACTTTTAAAATCTGTCCCCAGTACACAATTATACTTGATTTTCACTATAGCTCCTACAGTTCACTCATAAATCCTCTTTCCTTCTGCTTTCTACTGACTCCTTTATAAAGTTCTTCCCTCAATCCCTTCTTAAAGCTTCCATGCTTCCCTTGGGGGGGGGGGCGTTAACTTCCAGCCCAATACTGAACCCCCGACAGGTGTTTGCCACCCCCCAACTGTCCCCTTCCCTGGCCTCCCTGTCACTGTCCTGCTCCCATTTCCTGCACGGATGCCCAGCCCAGCCAGAGTGGCTGAGGACTGACCTGCCTGGGCCCTGCTGCTGGCCCTGGGAAGCAGGAGCACCTCTGCCCAGAAGGCCTCGGACTGTCCACCATTCCATCCCAGACTCGTGGGTGCCTCCCCTCAAATGGCCCACACCAGGGGCCACCGCCCTCTTCCCTCCTCCTGCATCTGGCCAGGGCTCCAGCCCCACTCATTTCCAGGCACACCTGCTCTTCCCACCCCCCATGGTCACCATCCCCTTCCACAGGCAGGCCTTTGTTTCCTTCCTTTTTCCATTTCTGCATCTTTTTCTTGTTCCCTTTCTGTATTTCTCTCTCCCCTCTTGGCTTGTTTGCACTCGTGCTTGCCTTCCTCCCCCTCTCCTTCCTTATTCCCTCCTATCATATGCTTCCCTACCCCAGGCCTGCAGATGCGTGAGCTGAGGGTGAGGGCACAGCCTGCTGATCTGGTCGTGACCTGAGGCTGAAACATATAATTTGCATATTTCTCTTTTATTAGTATCGATGATAGGCCTGGATACTTTGAGTCTGGCCCATCTATGACAAAGAACTCAACATGCAATCACAAGCTGCTTTTCCTGATGACATTATCTTCCCATCACTTCCCTAGAATGTAATCTGGAAGTTTAAAGCATTGTGTTTAATGTAAAAGGTAAGTACATTCTAAGATTAGTCTGTATATCTGCTCTGCCCAGCTTGCCAAAGGTTAATATAGATTATTATAGGTACTTCTCTTTCCCACTTGCATCATTTTTACAGTGACTCTATTAGTTTACTTATCTGATTATAAAACATTCTTGATATGCCTTTGGCAGGAATATAGACTCAATGGAGTCAAGTAAAGGCTGTTTCAGAATCAAATATCACCCTCATATGATAACACTTTTTTAACCATTCTAACAAATGGAATTTTCAAATTTCTTGTGATGT